GAGAATAATAAAATGTTGAAAAAGGTTGACATGTGCTCTACACGTTCATCAGCGCTGGGATTCTAGGTTCCAGTTTTCAGGTATAAAAGACATTCAACAGAGAGGCAACATCTTAAGGGTAAAGTGCCGACTGGGTGGAAGGATGAAACAGACTTTATTTTCCCATTTTCAAGCCCTGTCAAATACAGCAAATACATGCTGTGATGTTTCAGACATGTTTATGAAATGGAGGTCAACACTGTCTGGATTTTTACTCAAGTCACAGTGAGGTCTGGTGGGTATCACAATTTTTTTTAAAGAGTAGATATTTCACACAGTTTGTTTAAGCTGTTTCGATGGAGCGTCTCTTTTTCTAATGACACTTTGATCCCATGTACTCATCCCTCCCTCCCCCCTCCCCCTTCCTCCCTCCCTCACTCCCCCTGTGAATAGATTAAATCACTAGCTCACTCTGCTACAGCTCCTTCCCTGCCGCCAGCAGCCATAGAGAAGGCATAGGGAATTAATGGGTTGCTGTTAGCTCCGCAGGTGCTTCTGTTATCACTGGAGATGTAATTGATTTGGTGTGAGCCGCTTTGAATTACAACTGGGACTCAAGTGCGCTGCATTAGCCACTTAACACAGAGTCCCTCAGAGAGACGAGTAACACAACACAATACAAACAATCCAGCTGCAATACTCTGATGCTGCTGTTGGCCGTTTCAGTAGACAATGTTTTAACTTTCAACTATTTTCCCCCCATTTCACTTTAATTATTTCCCTTTTCCTACCAAAATATGTAATTCTTTGTGGAGGGGAACATTTGAGTACAGCTCAAGTAGTTTTGTTGCTCAGTGGGATGGATGTCATCATTGTGGTTTGGATAAATAAAGGCCAGGATCATTGCACTTAATTTGTCCGTTTCAACCTTGGTGAAAGTCCAAGCCTGTGGTGCTGGTCTGAGTTACTATAGCAACCGCTAACACCTGTAGGTTTCCACAGTCACTAAGCAAACACACACGCACACATGCACACATGTAATAACAGATATAGCCTAATTAGAATTTGAATGGATAACATTTTGGTACATCCCATCACAATGTAACTCCCATACAGCCATAACGTGTAAGAATGCTTACCACATTCACTGTCCCAGAGGAGAATAGAGGAGTGACTGAGGCAATTTGATACTGGGGATGATTGGGTGGCTTTGGTAGGGATTTCAGGAGTGCTGGTGGAAAATGGAAATGGCCTCAGATAGGCTTGGCTGAGCTCTTTGATAGTCTCTAAACTGTCATTTATTCTGTCCTTTATAGCCAAATAAACCCTTTAACCAACAGAAAGCATAAAGTCAAGCCTGTTAATCTCTAGGCTAAATCATAACCATAACATCTGTGCCCATTTAATAAAATATGCCTATCACATATTAAACTCATGAAATTAAACATTTTGGCACATAAGCTTTAGCTCTGGAATGACTGCACTAAAAGACAGAGCAAGTTGCCTGTAACGAAATTATAGAGCATCTGGCTTTTTGAAGATTTTTCCCGGAATAAACACAGCATTTGTTTTAATTTGTCTCTGCTGAATCTGGGAGCGTGGGAGGGGAGGGATCACTGGGCTATAAAACATATCAAAATGGCACAGGGATGTTCATTCTGTTGCCCTGGTGACTGCTGACTGAACTGAATATAGGCCTACTCAATATAGACCTATTGAGTTTCTAGTATAGTAGCAGAGCTATAGAAATCAAGGAGAAAAGTAACACACACTGTTGCTAATAAACAGTAAGCTAGTTATCGTACTTCAATAGCCTACATGTACAGTATTTTTACCCTGGCCATTGGTGATTGTGAAGTATAGCCTACAACAGTCACTGCTAAAAGGGGCCAGGGCCCATTCAATCTAATTTAAATCGGATTGAATCTAAACTAGTCATACTTGGAACATGGCCGCTGGTTCCATCGGTTTACAGGCTGCTATACCCCCGAGTTCATTTAGGGTCTATAAATCGCAGTGGGACCGCCGCGTGCTCCCTCTCCTAAAGACACGGGCGTCGCATTGATCCACCTGGTAGGCCATTAAGTGGGCCTCTTTAAGAATCCTCTGTGCCAGCCCCACCGGTCATCACTAGGAATAATACATTATCGGAGTAGCCCGAGTCCTGCTCACACGCTTCACAAAGCAAGGCAATCAAAGCAGTGCAACCGCAAAAGACTGCCGCCTCTCTTTATCTCCCGGGGATGGGAGTTGTAGATTAATTTATGCGTTGGGCATTTAGAGCCATAGGCCTATACTATGGATAAGACATGAGTGCCACGTCGGAGATAAAACCATGGCGCACAGGTGTGTCAGATTAATTTGAGTGTTGTACAAATTCTAATTCTAAAACGGATTAAGGTCACTTATTTGACGTTCAGAAATGTTTTGCTGTGTTTGCAAGAAAAATCGTGACTTATCTTAGACCACTTGGGATATGAAATGTGTTATTTTGTGAGTAATTCGGTTTAGACTAGGCTATAACTCAAGACAGGCGTTCCAATGCGCAGCCTTGGTCAGATCGCCTATGCACGCCTCCACTAGTCGCTGTCCATGGTGCTGAATGCTTTCATTCGGAGATTCAGTGCTCTGTCAATATTGAGTGAGAGAGTGAGTGCTCATTAACTACGCTTTTCCGCTTTCCGTGGGCGCTCAGCGATTTATGTTACAATTTCTTATCTGTGGGTTTCTAGTGTTGGGACACAGAGAAACTTGTTGAATGTGGGTAGGTTTGGATACTCCAAAAGAAAACCAGGCTGCATGTATATATATATAAATCAAATCAAACTTGATTTATATAGCACATTTCTTACAACAAATTCATTTCAAGGTGCTTAACAAATAAAATATTAAAAGGTGAGAAAGACTAAACACAACGTTTCTATGCAAATATAAAATCAATACTTGAAAAAAAAGAATTTAGAAATACATTAAAATAGTAAAACAATAGTAAAATAACAGTAGATATAATCTGTATTTTGTTTTGTAAATGTCTAGGCCTACAGTTGAAGTCGGAAGTTTACATACACTTAGGTTGGAGTAATTAAAACTCGTTTTTCAACCACTCCACAAATTTATTGTAGGTTAGGACATCTACTTTGTGCATGACACAGGTAATTTTTCCAACAATTGTTTACAGACAGATTATTTCACTTATAATTCACTGTATCACAATTCCAGTGGGTCAGAAGTTTACATACACTAAGTTGACTGTGCCTTTACACAGCTTGGAAAATTCCAGAAAATGATGTCATGGCTTTAGAAGCTTCTGATAGGCTAATTGACATAATTTGAGTCAATTAGAGGTGTACCTGTGGATGTATTTCAAGGCCTACCTTCAAACTCAGTGCCTCTTTGCTTGACATCATGGGAAAATCAAAAGAAATCAGCCAAGACCTCAGTTGTACACCTCCACAAGTCTGGTTCATCCTTGGGAGCAATTTCCAAACGCCTGAAGGTACCACGTTCATCTGTACAAACAATAGTATGCAAGTATAAACACCATGGGAACACGCAGCCGTCATACTGCTCAGGAAGGAGACGCGTTCTGTCTCCTAGAGATGAACGTACTTTGGTGCGAAAAGTGCAAATCAATCCCAGAACAACAGCAAAGGACCTTGTGAAGATGCTGGAGGAAACAGGTACAAAAGTATCTATATCCACAGTAAAACGAGTCCTATATCGACATAACCTGAAAGGCCACTCAGCAAGGAAGAAGCCACTGCTCTAAAACCGCCATAAAAAAGCCAGACTACGGTTTGCAACTGCACATGGGGACAAAGATCGTACTTTTTGGAGAAATGTCCTCTGTTCTGATGAAACAAAAATAGAAATGTTTGGCCATAATGACCATCGTTATGTTTGGAGGAAAAAGGGGGATGCTTGCAAGCCGAACAACACCATCCCAATCGTGAAGCACGGGTGGTGGCAGCATCATGCTGTGGGGGTGCTTTGCTGCAGGAGGGACTGGTGCACTTCACAAAATAGATGGCATCATGAGGAAGGAAAATTATGTGGATATATTGAAGCGACATCTCAAGACATCAGCCAGGAAGTTAAAGCTTGGTCGCAAATGGGTCTTCCAAATGGACAATGACCCCAAGCATGCTTCTAAAGTTGTGGCAAAATGGCTTAAGGACAACAAAGTCAAGGTATTGGAGTGGCCATCACAAAGCTCTGACCTCAATCCTATAGAACATTTGTGGGCAGAACTGAAAAAGCGTGTGCGAGCAAGGAGGCCTACAAACCTGACTCAGTTAAACCAGCTCTGTCAGGAGGAATGGGCCAAAATTCACGCAACTTATTGTGGGAAGCTACCCGAAACGTTTGACCCAAGTTAAACAATTTAAAGGCAATGCTACCAAATACTAATTGAGTGTATGTAAACTTCTGACCCACTGGGAATGTGATAAAATAAATAAAAGCTGAAATAAATAATTATCTCTACTGTTATTCTGACATTTCACATTCTTAAAATAAAGTGGTGATCCTAACTGACCTAAGACAGGGAATGTTTACTAGGATTAAATGTCAGGAATTGTGAAAAACTGAGTTTAAATGTATTTGGCTAAGGTGTATGTAAACTTCCGACTTCAACTGTATATATGTTAGCTGATAAGAGGCAACGGTATACATTTTGTATAAGAATAAAGTCAAACATTTTCAAATTTAGTCTATAGGCTCTCCATATCACCCATGCACAACGCTGGAGAAATGTATATTTTGGACAGAATGCGTTGGATCTCAAAAATCTCGCGAGCAATGATTCTCTCTAAACGTTCTACAATATACATAGAAGAAAAATAATGATTGAAAAATTGAGAAACTGCTGGAAAATGTTGGGAATATTTGAAATGTCATTGACAGCAATGCACATTGAATCCACGTAGCCTAGCCTTAGGACTAGGAGTGCATTTTGTTTGAAGAGGAAAATAACACAAGGTACTGTACATTACGGTCCATTCACTTTGTCTTTTTTCTGTATGCGCCTCCTTCCCACATCACCACAGCTGTTGGATTCTACGCCACAGTCAGAGGGGGCGAAAGAGGTGGCCCACAGCGTCTGCTCTCTCAGAGATCCGGCTGAGTGTTTCGGCTCCGTGGGCTTGAAGATGAAGAAGCAGAATGTGCGGACCCTCTCTCTCATCCTCTGCATGTTTTCCTACCTGCTGGTGGGCGCCGCGGTGTTCGACGCGCTTGAATCAGAGACGGAGAGCTCTCGCCGACGCATCCTGGAGCTGAAGCGCACGGAGATGAAGAAGAAGTACCGGTTCTCTGAGGACGACTACCGGGAGATCGAGCGGGTGGTGCTGCAAGCGGAGCCCCACCACGCCGGGAGACAGTGGAAATTCGCCGGGTCTTTCTACTTTGCCATCACGGTCATCACCACCATTGGCAAGTTTTGCTTGCTTCCCTTACTTTTGTTATGTCTGAGTATGTTGCAGGTGTCAGGAAATGGTTTTATAATACTGCGTCTGCAGTGTTCTGCATCGGTGAATAGCCTACTGTGCAGAAGTTAAGGGTGTTCAATTTGCATTAGTTATTAGCCTTAGCCATTGGCTTCAAAAGCCTCGGTATTGGTCTACAATAACCTAAAGTAAAGAGTAACTGTGGCATCTATCTCCACAGGTTATGGCCATGCAGCTCCAGGCACAGATGCAGGGAAGGTATTTTGCATGTTCTATGCCATTCTGGGCATCCCTCTCACCCTGGTCATGTTCCAGAGCCTGGGCGAGAGGATGAACACGTTCGTCCGCTACCTCCTGTGCAGGGCCAAGCAGTGCCTGGGGTTACGGAGGACTGAGGTGTCCATGGAGAACATGGTCTCAGTGGGCTTCCTGTCCTGCATCGGCACCCTGTGTGTCGGGGCAGCAGCCTTCTCCCACTACGAGGGCTGGACCTTCTTCCACGCCTACTACTACTGCTTTATCACGCTCACCACCATTGGGTTTGGGGACTTTGTGGCCCTGCAGAAGAAGGAGGACCTCCAGGAGAAGACGCCGTATGTGGCCTTCAGCTTCATGTACATCCTGGTGGGGCTGACAGTGATTGGAGCCTTCCTCAACCTGGTTGTGCTGCGCTTCCTCACCATGAACACAGAGGACGAGAGGAGGGACGCCCAGGAGAGGGCCTCCATCAAGAGGGAGAGGGGCCTGCTTACCATGGGGCTCCATGGAGGAGAAGGAGGAGGAGGACCAGAGCAGGGCAGAGGAGGGCTTGGGGACAGGGACAGGGACAGGGGGAGGGACAGGATGGGGCAGAGCCGCAGTCACAGCAACCTTTTCCGGCCCATGGAGGAGGGCACCAGCCGCACCAACCTCATCACCTCCCCAGCGGAGGAGCAGGAGGAGAGGGACAGGGCCAGGGGTGCCCCCTGCAAGCAGAGGCTGCACTTACAACTGCACGGCACAGGCAGACTAAGGACAGAGTCCCCCCTGGGCTCCCTGTGCTCCTGTATGTGCTACCGTCTGGGGGTGTGTGACAGCCCCCTGCCTTCCCGCAGCGAGCACCACGGGTGCCACATTAACTCTGTCTACTACAGCTCCATCTCCTACAGGACCCAGGGCTGCTCCCCCAGGGACAACACAGGACTCTCGTCTCCAGGGAGCACACTCTCGCCTCGGCACAGCTTCAAGGAGTACCCCCGCTCCCGGAGGAAGTCAGTGTAGCACCACGGTGGGACAGAATCTTTGTTTGCACAGGTTGGATTAATACAGTATTTCATACATATATTTTGAATACACTACAGAGACAAGGTGTTGTAGTACACTACAGATGCACACTCATTAGAGGAGTAATTGTTGTAAATGATTGGTAGAGGCAATATAATCTGTTTTATCACAGGAGTTTTTGAACCTATTTTCCCTAATCAGATGATTACAATGCTGTATTTATTCTAAGGATGCAGTTAAGTTGTTCTTTCATTATAGCCACTGGAGATTTGTCTTGTGAATCAATTCACTTAGTATTGTAATACTCTGTTAGTCTTTTGTTTGTGCCCCAATAGTTTTTTCTCCTGGATAGTTTGAGTATTATCTGCATTATATTTTTGTTGTTGCATGCAAATAAGAGTGAGATGCATGGTTAACATGATGCATATGGCATGATAATTATATTAAGAAAATAGTTGTAATGATGCAAATGACTATATTTGGGTATTAGGATTGTTTTTTAAGTAGCTGACATACACCACACATACATACACACACACACACACACACACACACACACACACACACATGCACACACATACAGTGCCTTCAGAAAGTATTTACACCCCTTGACTTTTTCCAAATGTTGTGGTGTTACAGCCTGAATTTAACACAATACCCCATAATGTCAAAGTGGAATTATGTTTTTCGAAATGTTTACAAATTAATTACAAATGAAAAGCTGAAATGTTTTGAGTTAATAAGTATTTAACCCCTTTGTTATGGCAAGGCTAAATAAGTTCAAGAGTGAAAATGTGCTTAGCATGTCACATAATAAGTTGCATGGACTCAATACTAGTGTTTAACATGATTTTTTAATGACTACCTCATCTCTGTACCCCACACATACAATTATCAAGCAGCGAATTTCAAACACAGATTCAACCACAAAGACCAGGGAGGTTTTCCAATGCCTCGCAAAGAAGGGCACCTATTGATAGATGGGTAAACATAAAAAAGAAGACATTGAACATCCCTTTGAGCATGGTGAAGATATTAATTACACTTTAGATGTTGTATCAATACACAGTCACTACAAAGATACAGGTGTCCTTCCTAACTCAGTTGCCGGAGACAAAGAAAACTGCTCAGGGATTTCACCATGAGGCCAACAGTTACAGAGTTTAATGGCTGTGATAGGAGAAATGATTGTAGTTACTCCACAATACTAAGCCAATTGACAGAGTGAAAATAAGGAAGCTTGTACAGAATATAAATTTCCAAAACATGCATCCTGTTTGCAACAAGGCACTAAAGTAATACTGCAAAACGTGTGGCAAAGCAATTCACTTTTTTGTCCTGAATATAAAAGTGTTATGTTTGGGGCAAATCCAATACAACACATTACTAAGTACCAGTCTTCATATTTTCAAGCATAGTGGTGGCTGCATCATGTTATGGGTTTGTAATCGTTAATGGACTGGGGAGTTTTTCAGGATAAAAAAGAAACAGAATGGAATTTAGCACAGGCAAAATCCTAGAGGAAAACCTGGTTCAGACCGTTTCCACCAGACACTGGGAGATTAATTCACCTTTCAGCAGGACAATAACCTAAAACACAAGGCCACATCTACGCTGGAGTTGCTTACCAAGAAGACAGTGAATGTTCCTGAGAGTCCAAGTTACAGTTTTTACCTAAATCTGCTTGAAGATCTATGGCAAGACCTAAAAATGGTTGTCTAGCAATGATCAACAACCAATTTGACAGAGCTTGAAGATTTAAAAAAAGAATAGTCTGCAAATGTTGCACAATCCAGGTGTGGAAATCTCTTAGAGAAATACCCAGAAAGACTCACAGCTGTAATTGCTGCCAATGGTGATTCTAACATGTATTGACTCAGGGGATTGAATACTTATCTAATCAAGATATATTAGATACATTTTTTACAGATGTTAGAATTTTCTTCCACTTTGACATTACAGAGTTTTTTGTGTAGATTGTAGAAATTTTTTCCCCCAATGATCTCCATTTTAATCCCACTTTGTAACACAACAAAATGTGGTAAAAGTCAAGAGGTGTGAATATTTTCTGAAGGCACTGTACACACACACAGAATGATTAAAGCAGCTCCTCAGCATGATGGATGCTGCTGATTCTGAGGAAAGTACCTCATATTGCATGCCTTTAATGGAATTATGGAATCATGTTTTAATGAGAAGGACATTAATAGATAGGAACACGTATATGGCAGAGATGGCCTTTAATGGACCACATCAATGACATTAGTAAATCATTATATTACTTGTCCTTACAGTACGAGGTTAAAAACAACCCTGCATACATTTCCCTGCCCCAATGCACAGTACAGAGACAATGCCTATTAGGCTTTGTGTTGATTTACATTTTATGGATGTAGCACTGCCTGATATGTAGCAAAACCTTTCAGAAATCTGTAGGCTTATTTACTTCCATGGGCATTTTAAATTATATTATATTTTCAAATGTTGTTTTTCTTGCAACTCATTGGAATATGTATCAGGTTTGGTTTCAACCTCTTAAAGTCCTGATGCTGACAAAATATTAAAAGGTGAGAAGGGACCATAAACAAATTAAAGAATGGTTATTTTTTGCTGTATAATATACTCTATAATTAGGTGTCTCTCGTGTCTAATAGAGATAACATGCTCCCAGAACCAACACTGAGGGGGTCCGGCTGGTCATGCGTAGTTTCAGTTACTGTCATTCTGTCAGTTCGTTTTTTCCATTACTGGATCACCTGATTCCCCTTGGCTCTGTACAGGTTGTATTAATTTGATCATTTCATTATATAGCATAGAAACTGTATAGAAATAGATGTAATGTATATTTTCTTGGATGGCCCCTATTTTCTGCCTGATAGCCCAGTTGTTGAGAGAATGCTATAGGCAGTCTTACTAATCACTCTGTAGTGAATGCAGGGGGCAATGGGTATCACATACTAGGCCTCAAAGGAAAGTATATTTATGCTATTTAAATTCTGAAGATTCCCATTAAGAAAGCTGTGGTTTGACCTGGGTAATATGATTCATACTCATGCATGCATGCACGCCAGTAGCGTAGCCAAAGCTGTGTTGGTGGGTGGGCCTGCAGAAATGTGGGTGTCTCTCCCCCCGACCAGTAGCGCTCGGTGCCTTTTAAGATTAGGGAGGACGTAAATGTTTTTACGAGCATGGCCATATTTCTATTACAGCATATTGGATGATTGTTATTCATATTCCATTTAATGTAACATCAAACTAACGCGTTAGTAAACCCGCTACAATCACGCAGTACAGTGTACAGCAAGCATTTTAGCAGCTACACCTGTGGGCCCCAGTGGCAATAAATTAATAAAACTGAAAGATTGCCTTGACTTGGAAGAGTTCCAGTGTTGGATAGCCTTAGCCAACTAGCTAATATAAATAGCATTTTTCTCTCTTTGAGTAAGCTAAATTAGTAGGCTTCATTAGCTAGCTAAGTAAGTGAAAGAGAAAGTGAAAATAAATACAACTAAATATATCTAGCTCTCTCTCTCTGCTGCTTCTCCTTAATTTTTGAACAATTTAATTTGTTAAAAACTATTCAGCTATTGTCTTTCTCTCTCGTTGCGTTAACTACTCACCACGTTTTATGCACTGCAGTGCTAGCTAGCTGTAGCTTATGCTTTCAGTACTAGATTCATTCTCTGATCCTTTGATTGGCTGGACAACATGTCAATTCATGCTGCAAGAGCTCTGATAGGTTAGAGGACGTCCTCCGGAACTTCATAATTACTGTTTAAGTCTATGGAAGGTGATGAGAACCATGAGCCTCCTAGGTTTTGCATCGAAGTCAATGGACAGTCGTGGTCAAAAGTTTTGAGAATGACACAAATATTAATTTTCACAAAGTCTGCTGCCTCAGTTTTTATGATTGCAATTTGCATATACTCCAGAATGTTATGAAGAGTGATCAGATGAATTGCAATTAATTTCAAAGTCCCTCTTTGCCATGAAAATGAACTTTATCCCAAAAAAAAACATTTCCACTGCATTTCAGCCCTGCCACAAAAGGACCAGCTGACATCATGTCAGTGATTCTCTCGTTAACACAGGTGAGAGTGTTGACGAGGACAAGGTTGGAGATTACTCTGTCATGCTGATTGAGTTAGAATAACAGACTGGAGCTTTAAAAGGAGGGTGGTGCTTGAAATCATTGTTCTTCCTCTGTTAACCATGGTTACCTGCAAGGAAACATGTGCAGTCATCATTGCTTTGCACAAAAAGGGCTTCACAGGCAAGGATCTTGCTGCTAGTAAGATTGCACCTAAATCAACCATTTATCAGGTCATCAAGAACTTCAAGGAGAGAGGTTCAATTGTTGTGAAGAAGGCATCAGGGCGCCCAAGAAAGTCCAGCAAGCACCAGGACCGTCTCCTAAAGTTGATTCAGCTGCGGGATCGGGGCACCACCAGTGCAGAGCTTGCACAGGAATGGCAGCAGGCAGGTGTGAGTGCATCTGCACGCACAGTGAGGGGAAGACTTTTGGAGGATGACCTGGTGTCAAGAAGGGCAGCGAGGAAGCCACTTCTCTCCAGGAAAAACATCAGGGACAGACTGATATTCTGCAAAAGGTACAGGGATTGGACTGCTGAAGACTGGGGTAAAGTAATTTTCTCTGATGAATCCCCTTTCTGATTGTTTGGGGCATCCGGAAAAAAGCTTGTTTGGAGAAGACAAGGTGAGCGCTACCATCAGTCCTGTGTCATGCCAACAGTAAAGCATCCTGAGACCATTCATGTGTGGGGTTGCTTCTCAGCCAAGGGAGTGGGCTCACTCACAATTTTGCCTGAGAACACAGCCATTAATAAAGAATGGTAATTGTCAATAAAAGCCTTTGACACTTATGGAATGCTTGTAATTATACTTCAGTATACCATAGTAACATCCGACATTAAATATCTAAAAACACTGAAGCAGCAAACTTTGTGAAGACCAATACTTGTGTCATTCACAAAACTTTTGACCACGACTGTACCCAGAGGAGGATAGAAACTAGCTGTCGTCCGGCTACACCAGGGTGCTACCCTAGAGAGTGCTGTTGAGGCTACTGTAAACGTTCATTGCAAAACAGTGTGTTTTAATCAGTTATTTGGTCACATTAATATATTATATATAGTTTTATCTAAAAAGGACAACTTTTTCAATGTTTCACTAATTACATTTTTCTAAAGTTCACTGAGAGGATGGTCCTCCCCTTTGTCCTCTGAGGAGCCTCCACTGAATTCTACCGTTTTTCCATGGTGCAGAGAGGAAAATGTGCAGTTTTATAGCTAATCTCATGCTATTCTATACACTTTGCCATGAGGCTGAGAGAAAATGTTCAATTTTAAAACGAATTGAAAGCTAAAATATACACCGAGAATACCAAACATTAGGAACATCTTCCTAATATTGTCATTCCTGTGCACTGCTTGTTTTAAATTGTATCTGATGGTGTTTGTATGTTTCGGTAAACAGACAAATAATTTCCCGTTTGCAGAGGTGGGTAGAGAACTGAAAATCTCTAAAATACTCTTACTTAGATTGTAATTTACTCAAATAAAAGTAGTCCTCTTAAGAAACTACTCAAGAAAGAGTAAAAAAAAAGTATCCGGATGGAAAACTACTTAAGTACTAGTTACAAATTTAGTTTTGTAATTTTTTACAACTAATGGTAAACTGTGACAGCAAACTGAAATAACAACAACTTAGTACAATTGATCTGACATTAATTTATTATTTAAGCCTGCCAGCACCATCTTGTGGATCACAGGAAGAGTAGCTTCTGCGTTAACAGCAGCTGATGGGGATCCTAATAAAAATACTAAATTGCAGATGTCCTCCAGCACAGGTAGTCTCCAATTTCATAAAAAGGTAAATGGTACTCGAGACATTTTTCACAATTTCAATAGCATAAATTAAAATGTATTTCACTACATAATTTCAAGTACATGTGATGGTGAACGCATACTAAAAAGATTTACACCAAGTGTGATGTTTAATATTTTACTCAATAAAATATTAAGGAGGATCAGGTGTTACAACAGTCAAACAACAATCAATATCGAAATGTCACTATCAATCATGTTACTAGTATGCAAATCAGACACATTTCAGCATGGTAATTAAACACCAAGGTATGCATTCAAGTAAGATAAATGTAAGTAATAAATAATCAAACAGTGCAGATATCAATTGCCATAGTCAACTCAATCATGTTTTTCCTGCCAAGGTAGGATATACCCTCCATCCTCCTTCTATTCTGACCCTCTCCTTTCCACTTTGAACAGTATTTTCATTTCTTGGCTGGCCCATACTTCTCCCTCTGGGTTGTGCCGCTACAAAAAAGAGAAGAACTTAAGTACATGTAACTACCCACCTCTGACTGTTTGGAACACTGAAAGTAGATAGCAGAAAATATATCTTTATTTTTTATTTGCTCAATTGGATTGGGTGGGCCTGTCTCCCCAGTGGGTGGGCCCGGGCCCACCCGTGCCTACGTAGCTGACACACACAAACACACACACACACACAGTTCATCATGGCACAAAAAGCACAATATGATATTTTAGTAAGATACCATATTAATGGTCTTGATGGCTTATTGGCATGATGGCCCTGCATATTGGTTATAGGAGTTTGCTTATTGCTATTTTGGTCTGCGCAATTAACTACCGTGGTAGAATGAGATTGAGGTGTACATATCATACAATATTGACATTGGCTGCTTAATGGGCTAGCATGCTGCTGTCGCTGCAGAGAGCTATATTTTCTGGAAACAGACCAGGATACTTCAAGTCCCACATAACTACCCCCAAAGTATTAATTCCATCCCGTCTGCTGATCAATTAGAATGTTACTTTACATATAAATGTTAAACTGATTAGGTAATAGTGTGGAATGGTGATTTGGAATGAGTCACCATCTGCTCTGGGTGCCTGGAGGAAGGCACAGGGACGACCAATCAGGTGATCTTTGAATAATGTACTCACTTTCACTCTCTATTACGGTGCTAGAGATAAAGGAACATAGAATTCAACATACCAATTAGGATCTGGCAAAAAATACTTGAATCAGTTATAGAACCCATTGCCCTTTATGGTTGTGAGGTCTGGGGTCCGCTCACCAACCAATAATTCACAAAATGGGACAAACACCAAATTGAGACTCTGCAGAGCAGAATTAAGCCGATACCCGCTAATTATCAAAATCCAGAAAAGAGCCGTTAATTTCTATAACCACTTAAAAGGAAGCGATTCCCAAACCTTCCATAACAAAGCCATCACCTACAGAGAGATGAACTTGGAGAAGAGTCCCCTAAGTAAGCTGGTCCTGGGAATCTGTTCACAAGCACAAACAGACCACACAGAGCCCCAGGAAAAAAACAAAAACACAATTAGACCCAACCAAATCATGAGAAAACAAAAAGAGAATTACTTGACACATTGGAAAGAATTAACAAACTAGAATGCTATTTGGCCCTAAACAGAGAGTACACAGTGGCAGAATACCTGACCACTGTGACTGACCCAAATTTAAGGAAATCTTTGACTATGTACAGACTCAGTGAGCATAGCCTTGCTATTGAGAAAGGCCGCCGTAGGCAGACCTGGCTCTCAAGAGAAGACAGGCTATGTGCACACTGCCCACAAAACGAGGTGGAAACTGAGCTGCACTTCCTAACATCCTGCCAAATGTATGACCATATTAGAGAAACATATTTCCCTCAGATTACAGAGATCCACAAAGAATTCTAAAACAAACCCAATTTTGATAAACTCCCTTATCTACTGGGTGAAATACCACAGTGTGCCATCACAGAAGCAAGATTTGTGACTTGTTGCCACAAGAAAAGGGCAACCAGTGAAGAACAAACACCATTGTAAATACAACCCATATTTATGTTTATTCATTTTCCCATTTGTACTTTAACTATTTGCACATTGTTACAACACTCCATTTGAAATGTCTTTATTATTTTGGAACTTCTGAGTGTAATGTTTACTGTTAATATTTATTGTTTATTTCACTTTTGTTTACTATCTACTTCACTTGCTTTGGCAATGTTAACATACGTTTCCCATGCCAATAAAGCCCTTAAATTGAAAATTGAATTGAATTGAAAGGAATGATCTATGTGCCAAAGTTGCCCTCTAGAGGCGTAAACCAACTGTCACTCCTGCACTTTGCCTATAAAGACAACTTCCCAGATTGATTGAGATTAACCATTCATTCAGCTGTGCTAATCTCAGACTGTACTTTTTCATTGTTTAACTGAACTGTCAGCAGAACTTCAGAAATGGAGAGATAGAGAGAGAGCGCGAGAGAAAGGAATGATCTGCCGAACGCATTACAGGGGGCAAACTACCAGCCCTCCAAGACACATACAGCACCTGATGTCACTGGAAGGCCAAAAAGATAATCAAGGACATCAACCACCCGAGCCACTGCCTGTTCACCCCGCTATCATCCAGAAGGCGAGGTCAGTACAGGTGCATCAAAGCTAGGACCGAGAGAATGAAAAACAGCTTTTATCTCAAGGCCATCAGACTGTTAAATAGCCATCACTAGCACATTAGAGGCTGCTGCTGCCTATTGAAATCACTGGCCACTTTAAGAAATGGATCACTAGTCACTTGAATAATGTTTACATATCTTGCACTACTCATCTCATATGTATATACTGCATTCTATTCTATAATATTCTACTGTATTTTAGTCCATGCCGCTCTGTCATTGCTTGTCCATATATGTATATGTTATTTTATCCCATTCCTTACTAGTTTTGTGTGTATTGGGTATATGTTGTGAAATTGTTAGATATTACTTGTTAGATATTACTGCACTGTCGGAGCTAGAAGCACAAGCATTTCGCTACACCCGCTGTAACATCTGCTAAACACGTGTATGTGACAAATACAATTTGATTTGATTTGATCTCTGTGACAAGGGTGCCCTCTAGAGGCGTAAACCAACTGTCACTGGTGCACTTTGCCTTTAAAGACAACTTCCCTCATGCGCTATTGATTGAGATTGAAAATTCATTCAGCTGTGCTAATCTCAGACTGTACTTTTAATTGTTTAACTGAACTGTCAGTAGAACTTCATTTCTGAAGTAATCCAAATCTCCACAGACTGATACAGACATGTCAAGAAGAAAATAAGGCCAACAGAGAGAGGAGTGATTATACCAGAGGACAGTAGAACTCTATTTCTGTTTTCCCAATAACTCTGAAGCTGGTGGGTGAGTTAGGGTTTTATCTGTGTCTAATGGAAAATAATGAGGTGATGGATGAGTTGAATCACCTTGCACAGGGGGCAATGCTTTGGGATCCTCAGATGAGAGGTGCAATCTGTTCCAATTCCATCCACTGTCACAACCGTTGTATAATGTTTATGTAAGCAGTAGTATGCAGGCACTTGTCTTCAGGAGATGGCCCAAACCTCCAGGTCGTTGATGAGGAAGTCTTCAGAGGAGGCCAACACGTAATTGTCAAATGTGTCACACTTCTGGCTCTGCCCACGGATCAGGCCATCGTCTAACCCCAGGCCAAAGAGACCCCTGAGAGCATGTTAGAGCAGGAGAAGGGGGAGGAAGAGAGAACATAATTCCTCAACATTCAAGCACTCCTTTAGACCACTAGTTTCTTCCATATTCTGTTGAGTTATAGATTATTGACCATAGTGGACCGATTTTCACTCAACCTCCTCCACCAAATGCCAGGTAGTCTGGACTTCCCTTCACAAAGAAGGAGTTACTAAACTTCCATTCATAAACCTGGAAAATAGACTATGATCATAGCTTGTTGTTTGTGAACTGAAACATTCATTATGCAGTAATACAATATTGCTATGTTGGGTTAGAATCCAGCCCTGAGCCAGTGATACTGAGACGCGACATGGGGATAGTTCACCTGGAGTTGTGGAGAGAAGGAGAAGAGGAATTGTGTGTCCTGTTCTATAGTATGACAGACTGATTCAAAGAGTAGTGGGACAAAATACACCAAACACCTATAGGACAAATAAATAGAGTTACAGAAGAGGGATTTTAAAAAATGGACACTGACAGACTTATGGCATAGGTGGGAAAACTTGGTTTAGGCCACTAAAAGGCCTCAGTTACTCCTCACCTGTCCATAGTTATCTCTGATGACAGTGAGGGTATTGGTGCTACAGTCCATGCCCCCCATGCTCCTGTACAGAGTGCCCAGGCTGGTGCCATATCTCTGGGTGCTGTAAACCAGGGGCACTGCTCCAACCTGGCCGGAAGTTGCTCATATAGCTGAAAAACTAATGGAATTACACTGTAACATGGACATTTGTATCACTAATATTAATATGGAAATTTAGAATGACTTGTATTGGGAGCATATTAAGCACTGCAATAATAATTTACCACTGTAAAAGTGATGCATTTAATGTAATCGAATGCGTAAAAAAGGCTGCACATTTAAGGGTATTTATTGACAAGCCAGTCAGACAATTTCTGTTCCCGTATTCTGGGCAGTCACCCCCCTTCCCCTTGGGAGTCAGGTGAGTCTTCAAAAGAAAGAGGGAACTGAGTTTACTGGAGTTTGGCGGTAATGCACCATAAAGTTATAGTCTGGTTGACACCTAACTCGAAGTCTTCCTGACTTCAGAGTCTGGAAAGGCTATTTTGACGTTGTCATCAAGATGTGTCGATAATGAAGGAGATGTGTTTTTTTTACTGATTGCTTCTCCTCTGTGTCTTTCTCACTCAAACACCCACATGGACAGCCACACACAGCCCCCGAGAGCCACCCCCTTCCAATACAACTATTGGATTTTCAAATCCAAACAATGAGAGCTTTCAAGACAACTGGGAACTCAAATCGTGACATCAGTGAGAAGTCTTAGATCTAGAAGTCTGAGCTCTAGGATGATGCCCTAGGATGATGCCAGAGTTTCTGACTTGGAGTTCCCAGTTGTCTTGAAAGCACTGAAGTCAGATGTTGGAAATGTTCAAGTTCCAAGTTCCCAGTTGTCATGAACACGACATAACAATAGACTCCTGTCTAGACCAGTGTGTTACAGCTCTCCCTAGATGTGTATCACGAGAGTCGCGGCAGCCAGGCTACCATTAATGGTGCTTTCAAGACAACTGGGAACTCTAAAAAAAAAAGAGGTCAAATCATGACTTCAGTGATCTTCAGGTCGGAAAGTCAGAGCTCTAAAAAGATGTCTGAGTTTCCGACTTGGAATTCCGACTTGGTTGACCGTTCAAAACGATTTTTCCCAGTCGGAATTCGTTTTTTCCCCCCAGTTGTTTTGAACGCGGCATAAGACTGGGAAGGTTCAAGATTGGGTACTTGGAACTCGGAAATACACCAGCTCTAGTTTCACCCACTCAAAGTGACAGGACTGCAGGCAAGGTGGAGATAGCATAGGGCTCCCTCGTACTGAGGGTGACTTTATACACTGGACTGATGTGAGGTGAGCTGTGTCCTGTGTGCTGATGTCCTGTGTTCTCGCGCGTTCACATTTTTTTTTAAAATGGTTGTAATAGTATAGACGTTTCCAACCATTTCTACCGATATGCGTGCCAGTTATTATAATTTTTACATGAGCATTTTCTTGAAACAGTTTCATTTAAATAATAACGTTTTCGTTTCTCAAAATCATTGTCACATGGTTAATCATAAAAATCTGAAATAAAATGATCAAAATCTTAAAGTTAAAATTCAACTATGCGGAGAGCACTAGCCTCTGCCGTATGGACACACTGTGATCCACTGGCGGCTAAAGAAATGAGAGCATATAACTCAGAGATGCAGCAGTGGGCCTATAACTTCCATTGTCAACTAAGTAAAAAACATAGGCCTAAAGCCGACAAATACAAACAGTAGAAAATATCCGGATAAAAATTCCGGTTCTTTCAATCACATTCATCTATCTACTCCGCCTGTCTGCCTCCCCTTCTATCCGTCTTGATTTGAGCTATTGCTAGTGAGTGCAACATTGTATCAAATCATCACTTGGGCCGCCCAGACGCTGTTGTTAGCGAACTTGCAACATTGCATCAACTAGCCTATTCCGGGCCCCCATAGTTTCGGGACAGAAAGCTGTTTTTTATTATGTTTTGTATGACTGGATATTTGGGATCATCAGATCATGATATTTTGCTCTTTCACACGGCTTGGTGATTATCGAGGCGGGGAGTGTTGGAAATATTTTTCAAATACCGAGGAACTATCATTCGCAATGGATGTTAAAAAAACAGACTTCGTTGACTTGTGTGAGGCGAAGAAAAAATGAGTGGTGTACGTGGTGAGTTAAGACAATCAGAAATCAGACATTGCCAAATGGGTACTTTGCTACATATGCATGCATTCTGGAGAGAGACGCACCATATCTTCGCACCATATATTAAAACACTCAAATACTTGTTCTCCTACATTTATTTGTGTTCTTCTACATTTCTACTTAGGAGTATGTCATGTACTTCTTATAAAAAATGTCAGCGTAGAGCCCTGAACTATAATAATAAATAAGCCATGTCGAAGCCTTTTGTGGCAGGGTAGGCACTTTGTTGATTCTTGATGTTCAGTTGTAGAACTGTTTCTATTTTTACTATTGTATCTAAATTATTTATTTTAACGTTGGTTAAAAGACGCAGGTCACAAAAATGAAATGACATTAAGCAATATACCCAATTCGTTCTTACTAGTAATACATTTCTTGTTTTAGAAAAACAGAACGCATGCTCATCCATTGATAGATATATTTTGTGTGTGTAATTATGGCAAAATATTTTGGCTGTAAAAACTCTAAGTGGCTGGTAGATTTCTTAATCTACTTGTCACAGTGGCTGGTGAACCAAAAAGTGAATTTCCCACCCTGCCCACCAAGCATACTATGTCATATGTCACTTGGGTTTGGTCAACTTCTGAATATGGTCCATGCATTAGTACATTTGTCCACTAGGAGGGAGGCAAACATAACTATCTCTGAGAGCTGGCAGTCATACCTGACATACAGTATCTGACCAATGGGAAGGAGGCCACTTTGGTCTGTGAGCTCACACTCCATGGGATCCTCCGAGCAGAGGTTGTCTAAATCCTGCTTGTCTTTAAGGTCCCAAGAGCTGTCACTGCAAATTCGATGATCTCAAAATCCTCTTCCTCGTACTCCTTTTCATCCTCTTCTTCCTCCCTACTATTGATCCTGTGGAATGAGGGTGAGGTCAATCTGAGACGGTTGACCTTGTGTGACACACACACACACACACACACACACACACACACACACACACACACACACACACACACACACACACACACTTGGTGAGAGGACTAGGAAGACAGCGCAACAGACATCACCCAAAGTTCCAACAATCGATTTTGCACCGCTTTCTCTCTCTTCTCCTCTCCTCCATCCCTCCATCCCTGCTCCTCACTTTGGTCTCCAAGCAATTAGCCTGCTATAGTTCCACTGAGTGCACAGTGCTAAATGGCTAATCTCACTCATTCCTCTCTCTCCCTCTTTTCTTTATCGATTTCTTTATCCCACTCTGGACAGTGCTTGGGGGCTTTGACTGTCCGACACGCATAACCGGAGGTGTGACAGGTTTTAAAACCCAACACTAATACCCTTTATTTGTCTGTATAGGGCCATTGTAAGGGAGATGGTAATGGATTTGTGACTGTGTGTGTATGTTTGTGTTATATGTGGGGTTGTGTGTGTGTTCACTGTTGAGCTGACAGACTGTAGTATGCAATCACAGCTTTAGGGCATTGAGCTTTTGAGTGAGTGTGTGTGTGTGTACGATGTGTGTGCTTGTATGACTGTGTGTACTTTCACAGTCTACAGTGAGGGAAAAAAGTATTTGATCCCCTGCTGATTTTGTACGTTTGCCCACTGACAAAGACATGATCAGTCTATCATTTTAATGGTAGGTTTATTTGAACAGTGAGAGACAGAATAACAACAACAACAATTCAGAAAAACGCATGTCAAAAATGTTATAAATTGATTTGCATTTTAAAGAGGGAAATAAGTATTTGACCCCTCTGCAAAACATGACTTAGTACTTGGTGGCAAAACCCTTGTTGGCAATCACAGAGTTCAGACGTTTCTTGTAGTTGGCCACCAGGTTTGCACACATCTCAGGAGGGATTTTGTCCCACTCCTCTTTGCAGATCTTCTCCAAGTCATTAAGGTTTCGAGCCTGACGTTTGGCAACTCAAACCTTCAGCTCCCTCCACATATTTTCTATGGGATTAAGGTCTGGAGACTGGCTAGGCCACTCCAGGACCTTAATGTGCTTCTTCTTGAGCCACTCCTTTGTTGCCTTGGCCGTGTGTTTTGGGTCATTGTCATGCTGGAATACCCATCTACGACCCATTTTCAATGCCCTGGCTGAGGGAAGGAGGTTCTCACCCAAGATTTGACGGTACATGGCCCCGTCCATCGTCCCTTTGATGCGGTGAAGTTGTCCTGTCCCCTTATCAGAAAAACACCCCCAAAGCATAATGTTTCCACCTCCATGTGTGACGGTGGGGATGGTGTTCTTGGGGTCAAAGGCAGCATTCCTCCTCCTCCAAACACGGCGAGTTGAGTTGATGTCAAAGAGCTCCATTTTGGTCCCATCTGACCACAACACTTTCACCCAGTTCTCCTCTGAATCATTCAGATGTTCATTGGCAAACTTCAGAGGGGCCTGTATATGTGCTTTCTTGAGCAGGGGGACCTTGCGGGCGCTGCAGGATTTCAGTCCTTCACGGCGTAGTGTGTTACCAATAGTTTTCTTGGTGACTATGGTCCCAGCTGCCTTGAGATCATTGACAAGATCCTCCTGTGTAGTTCTGGGCTGATTCCTCACCGTTCTCATGATCATTGCAACTCCACGAGGTGAGAACTTGCATGGTGCCCCAGGCCGAGGGAGATTGACAGTTATTTTGTGTTTCTTCCATTTGCGAATAATCGCACCAACTGTTGTCACCTTCTCACCAAGCTGCTTGGCGATGGTCTTGTAGCCCATTCCAGCCTTGTGTAGGTCTACAATCTTGTCCCTGACATCCTTGGAGAGCTCTTTGGTCTTGGCCATGGTGGAGAGTTTGGAATCTGATTGATTGATTGCTTCTGTGGACAGGTGTCTTTTATACAGGTAACACACTGAGATTAGGAGCACTCCCTTTAAGAGTGTGCTCCTAATCTCAGCTCGTTACCTGTATAAAAGACACCTGGGAGCCAGAAATCTTTCTGATTGAGAGGGGGTCAAATACTTATTTCCCTCATTAAAATGGAAATCAATTTATAACATTTTTGACATCGTTTTTCTGGATTTTTGTTGTTGTTATTCTGTCTCACACTGTTCAAATAAACCTACCATTAAAATTATAGACTGATCATTTCTTTGTCAGTGGGCAAACGTACAAAATCAGCAGGAGATCAAATACTTTTTTCCCTCACGGTATATCCATCAGGACTTCAGTGTAATGGTTCCCCTTATGGATCTATAGCCAACACAAAGCCTTACAGTCAGTAAACTGGCTTATGATTGACCATTCTTTTCGCAACAGCTTGCTCATGGGTATGGGTCTTCCTATGTTCTAGTGGACAAAAGCTATGTTCTGATGTTTGAAAATGTGGGGGAGAGGTGCAATTTTCTTTTTCTTTTTTCAAATTATTTTAATTTGAAAAATGAGGGGTTGCTGCAACACCCTCATCACGCCTACTTCCCGCGGCTATGACTACTACCATAACCCGTTCAAAGGCACTTCAATCTTTCCTCTTGCGCATTCACCCTCTGAATGGCACACATACACAATCCATGTCTCAATTGTCTCAAGGCTTAAACATCCTTATTTAACCTGGATTTAACAGGTGACATTAATAAGGGATCATAACTTTCACCTGGATTCACCTGGTCAGTCTGTCATAGAAAGAGCAGGTGTTCTTAATGTTTTGTACACTCAGTGTATATTCACTATACAGCCAAAGATACAGTATCAAATGTTCCGTAAGTGCACTGAACTCTTCTCTAACTATTCCTTTGCCTCCCAGCCAAAAATACTAAATCAATCAAATGGTTGCCACACGGCTGTATAGTAAACAGCTGCCTGCTGCATGTGGTGACCTGGAAAAGGGGAGTGCAGACGTGTGACTATGTGGCACTCAGCCACACAGAAACTCGCTCGTCACATTGCCAGCAACTGTGCTTGTTTAGAAACACAATATGGCCATCTTGGCTCGGTGCTCAGATAGACGGAGGGGGAAACTAACGCTTGCCAGCCAAGCTGCGTCGTTCTTTCTTTTGGTTCTCTCTCTCTTTCTCTACTCTCAGGCCATTCTCTGCAGGGAGCCGTGTGAGGAAGGAAGCAGTCTTTCACAACTGATAGAAAGGAGTGATCAAACGCACAGTGTTCTCAGAAACAATCCAACGTTGTGACATTATCATCATGTGTTGTTTGATTTATAGCTTTCAGGATGATAATGTATTCATTCCATTTCCCTTTTGATATCTTACAAAGATATGACTGTTTTATAAAAACTGAATCCGTTAAGTAATAGTTGCATAATATATTTTCCCAGCAGTGTGGTATTGAAGCCGTGTCTTGTATAAGAAATGAAAGCCATTATCACTTTTACATAATAGCGACATTAATAGAACTGATAACAGCTTTATCATGAGCTTGATCTGTCACCCCTCTCTTCACTGGAATAATGGCAGATAATAGCATCTCTCTCCACAGAACTCAATGTTCTGATTACTATGTAATTGATCTGCCAGACCTACATAATAAATCCACATCATTAACTGTCCTGGACAGTGAGTAACGAGAGATAACAAAATACACAATATGTTCCCACATACTGCACCCACATTGTGATAATAATAGACAGCGCCATTTTCTAACGTCAATCACTGTGTAACTGCAGTGTTTATATGTACGCAGTAATGGCTGTAGGCAGAAACACTCAATGAAGTACCTCATTTCCATTTATCTCACTGAAGACTGAACAGAACATGGAGGCCCTGTATATTTACACGAACAGTGGAGGACTTTCATGTGTTGCATTATTATTGACTACTGCATTTCACTGCAAAACATTGATTCATTAACTATTGTTTATTAACTACACTTTACTTTGAGTCTTAATTACACATTTTCTAATCTGTCTTGTAGATGATCTATCTAGCTAATAACCAATTGGCAACATATTTTTCCATTCCACAAATATTCACAGTGTACTCACCAAGAGGTGGTAGCACAAGGCTTCAGTGAGTCTCCAATGAAAATGTCTCCCTGTATGAGTGTTTCTTCACTTCTCAGTTAATCAGACGTTACTCCTTCACCTGGACACACCTACTGCCACTCGATCTTACTCTCTCACACTGTCTCCTCTCTCTCTCTCTCTGATGAGGGTGGTCAGAGGGTGTGGAATATTCCACTGTGATTCTTAAGTATGGAGGCCTTCACGGGGTGCCTGAACCCTCCATCTAGAAGGGGCTATGTATGAGAGAGTGGGTGTATGAATGTTTTAGTTTTTTTGACAGCTCACTCCTCTCATTCAAAAGGGGAATAGCAGTTTTGAATGATAGTTTGAGCACAGTTGATAGGTTTCTGTATGTAATTTAGATATTTAATTGCAAGTATGTGTGGGGGCGTGCATGTGAATGTCTAGGTCTACAGTTCATGCATGTTGGAGGGAAGTATTAAACCGAGTATGAGCATCAGGAGCCACTGTACTTCCCTTTTACTTCACAGCGTTTTTATTGATCTGTCTGATTTATAGTATCGTAGGTCACAGAGATACACAGCTGTGGATTCTCCATTTGAGGAAGTTAATGGTTAATGTCAGAGGGTTGTGGGTTGTGGGTAGGGCGTTTGCGGTGACCGTATTACCGCCACACCGGCGGTCACGAGTCATGAAGGCAGTCAAATTCCACGTGACCGTTTAGTCATGGTAATTAGGCTTCTCCAAGTTCTGATGCTGCTGATGGTCATTAGTAGCCTACCAAACTTGATAAATGCCTCGTACCCAGCACTCTATTGTCCCTCTAATCACTCTGACATCAATGCAAACAAAAATCGAATCAAACACTTCATGAGCTCATGTTGCGCAACATTTCTATAGGCTATGCAATTGCGTGAGAGAACAGAGTGATGGCCTCTATTAAAAAGAGGAGGATCCCATTGGCTTTCTATAGGTTAGGCCTACTACAGTGCTATGAAATAGTATTTGCCCCCTTTCTAAT